CTGTGACAGGAGCGGCGCGACTGGTACCGGAGCCCCAGAGGAACCCGGTACCGGAGCCCCGGAAGAACTTGGCGCCGGAGCCCCAGAGGAACTTGAGCCCAATGACCGCTTGCTACAAAAAAGTCCAAGACGAAGTCAGAACAAGAAAAAACGCTCAACAAAACAAAGACAAGTAAACAACTCACCGACGCGTAATGAGGGACACATCATCGACCTCATCTTCCTCAGTCTCCAACAGGACAGCTACAGCACCATCTGAAAACAGAGAGAGAAAAACTCGGTCAATGGCATAAATAAATAAATAACAGAAGGACCAAACATATTAATATGCTCACCTAGGAGCACGCTACCTATAACTGGAGTACCTGGATGAGTACTCGGCTGGCGAGACTTCTTGGAAGCAGGTAAACCAGTTGAAGAACCATTCGCTAGCCCCCTCTTCGAGACACTACGAAGACCTCGAGGGATTGGACGAGGAACATATTCTTCATATACATCAACAACTCTAGAAGAAACTCCAGGAAACACTGTGGTGATTTGGAACTTACTGATTACAGAAGCCCCAGCAAGGTTCTCCCCAGTATTCATCATGGCAGGGGGGACATCAAGGGGGGTCGGGTCAACAAAGTTGCGCCCCAATTCCTACGAAAAAAATAAAACAAGACAAGGAAAATTAAGCAAAAATGGATACAGCAAAAGAAATATAGAAAGTACTCACACTAATAGAAAACGACTTACAGCTAGAGGCGGGTTGTTGGCAGAGAACTCGGAGACAGTAAATGGGACAATGTTTGCTCCTTTCAACATCTTCTGGAGACGCTCGAGTACCTCCTCGTCGGTCAACTCAAGGGCAGGGACCATACGTGAAGAATCCTCAACCCCAGAGTACTCGAAGCCAAAGTTCTCTCGCTCCTTCAGAGGTTGAACACGACGATGAAGAAAGCTCGAGACAATACAAAAGCCGGTCAAGCCCTGCTGTTTCAGAGTACTTATCCTATCAAGAAATGGCTGGATCACCTGAACCTCAGCCGTCGTCACAGGGTTCTTATCCCATCGGTCATTAACCAATGGACCAGATCCAGAGTGAACATCAAGAGAAGGAATCAGATTGGCGGCGTAAAACCAGTTGGCACGCCAATCCCTCATAGAATCAACCAGGTCATAGTCAAAGAACTTGCTCTTAAGACCCTGGTAAAACTGAATCCCGCAGCCACCAAGAACACTGGTGTCTTCGCGGCGGGGTTGGGGTTTCAGACGAAAGAAGTAGCGAAAGAGAGAAAGAGAAGGGGGAATTCCAAGGAAAGTTTCGCAAAGATGAACAAAGACAGAAAGATGAAGGACAACATTGGGGGTAAGATGGTTCAAAGTAACCCCAAAATAATTAAAGAATCGATGGAGGAAGGCAGAAGCGGGAAGGCAGAGTCCAGCATGGACAAAGGAGACAAAGAGGACGATCTCACCAGGACCTGGAGCAGGGACCCGATGCTCGCCTGGAGCTCTCCATTCAGCAATGTCCTTGCTCTGGATCAAGCCGTCGCTGACAAGCTCACGGAGCTGGTCTTCGGTTGTTGTCGGAGCCGGCCAAACCTTCTGGGCAGCCCTCATGGCCACGAACTCTTGGTTCTCGATCAAAGAAAGGGGCGACTCCTCATCCACGAAGGCTGCTTGGGACTTGTTCGCGGCCTTCTTCCTACCCATGAACTAGCGGAAGCAAAAAGGCACTGGGGAAGACGAAGCTAGGATGGCGGCGCTCGGGTGACGACGACAATGGCGGCGGTGGATTTCTGAAAGCTAGGGTTTCAAGGCAAGAGTTGGGCAGTAAAGAAAAGGAAGATAAAAGGTCTTTAAATAGATTTTACAGCGATAAAATAGCCCACCAGGCCCGTTAAAACACGGTGTGGGAACGCAACGGTCCATTTACTAACACAGCTAAAATGACGGACGGCACAAATCCACATAACGGTACAGTTTAACGGACAGATTTCAGACTTATCCATCCAGCACCATGACAGAGTTATCAGATTACTACAAGAACAACCCATCAACCATGAAGAAACAAAGGGCTACCTCACAAGGAACAAAAGAACCCAGTTATTACAGAAAGAACTCGGGAGTCTCATGAACAACCAGGATTACAGCAGAAAAATGAATGACAACTCAGAAGACAAGATTCTTTCCATTACAAGTGGCTTCAAAAAATAGAAGATTACACATTTTACAAGACCCAACGAACTCGGTACTACGACAATCAAGGTATCAAAGAGGAACCCAGACACAGCTAGGCTCTAGAACGACTACGTGTCCCAAATTGCTACTCGGTAGAACAAACCGCACTCGGCTACACTGTTTTCTTCAAAGGACGGACGCAGTGCATCCAAGACGGAAATCCGTAGCACGGCGGGACAACATAGACCAGGGGAAGTCAGTAGGCATCTGTCTACCCAAGCCCGACGTGATGCAGGATCAGGTGTTGATCTGCACCGGACAGTCATAGGGCGGGCAAGGAAGATCAACCCAGAACTGCTGGATGAAGGAACGCATCCCACATCACAAGACTTACTCCAACTACCACCACGTACTTCCAAGTACAATACCGCTGCGGGATTAGTCTACCTCTAATCCCTATCACAAGACTTCCTCCAGCTACGACAAGACGCACAGGAACTATAAAATACGCCCGGGGGCTGCTCTACTTCATAAACTACCATATTCATGACTACGAAGGTTTCAACAAAATGTTCAATGGATGAAAACAAGCACTCCGGGAGGGTATTTATAGATCGAAGGAGCGGCACACATAGACTAGGAGTACCAACGAAACAAGCCTAACAAAGGACACAGTGAAAAGACAGGACTCAATAATGGAATACTCAGGCGAGAAGGAACAGTACTCGAAGACGAGCATATTCAGAAGAATATGCCAACAATGTACAACCCGTGAATAGGAAACATTTACACTCAACCACCACTATACAACTACACCTGACAAACAGCAGACTACCAGAGAATACGCCAAGAACAATGCATCCAAGTTCTTTTTGAATCAAAGAACCCGGATAAATGCTCAGAGGCTACAACAGGGGAAGATTTCAGTTCCTCGAACAAATTAGACTCAAGACCCACCAACTCTTTGTTCCAAACAGCAAGAGGCTCGGGAGCTACACTCAGTGAGTGCACTTTTTCTTCAAAAAAACTCACATCACTCGAAAGACTTCTTCAAGACAGCAATTTTAAAACAACATAAGATTCAAGACCCTCCAGCTCCTTGTTCCAAATACCAAGAGGCTCGGGGGCTACACTCAGTGAGTGCACTTTTTTCTTCGAAAAAGCGCATGTCACCAAGAAGACTTCTTCAAGACAAAACAACTTCAAGGACTCATGACAAAAAGAAGCCGGACCGGGCTATATCCGAGTTCCTTTTGATAAAGAACCCGGGTACATGCTCGGAAACATTTCAACGAAGGATCATAGCGATTTCAAGACAAGACCCTCCCGCTCCTTGTACCAAATAGCAAGAGGCTCGGGGGCTACACCCAAAGGGGAGTACTTTTTTCTTCAAAAAGGTACACTCCACGCGAAGATCTCATAGAGCACTACACGGTTTCGCTCAAGAAAGCACTCGGACGACGCTTGTTCCTGCTCGGCAAGGCCTAAAAGAACAAGACGAGGCTTCCAAAGCTCAACCATGAAGTGCTCAGGGGCTTGTCAGTGCGGGACCCACAGGATACCCCATAAGAAAGAGAGAAGATCTAGTCTAACTAGGATTCTCCCTATGTAATCTTAGTAATAGTATTATCCTGTAATCCTACTAGAAACTCTCATTGTAAACCTCCTGACTATATAAAAGAGGGCAGGGTTCCTAGAGACGGGAGATCATGATTTCTACAACACAACAACACACAATCAATCCAACGCAAAGGCTAACACCGACTGGACGTAGGGCTATTACTCGACCACAGTCGAGGTCCTGAACCAGGATAAATCGACCGTCTCTTACGTTCACCGTCGAGTTCCGCATACGCTGAAGCCCAAACAATACTGCCCCGGGGACCCCCGTGGCAGGCTATCGGTGGTTAAACATCGACAGGTCCCTAAGCTTGGTAGACGGGGTGTCATCCAGAACCCTAAACTTTCAAGGTGATTGCCGCAGGTCCCTAAACTTGGCAGACGGTGTAATCCCGGTCCCTGACCTTTCAAGGTGATCACCGTAGGCCCCTAAACTTGGCAAGCAATGTCATCACTGTCCAAATGTAATCTATTAATCTATTACACCTATAATATTCCTACTGCTATCGTCTGTCACCCCGCCCCTGCCCTTTCTAGTAAAAAAAAGCATTTCTATTATACGGCAAAAAAACACCGTAAAAACACCACAAAAAAAGAACATATACGACAAAAAAATAACGGTTTCCGTAACAAACTCTTCCGCATCGAAAATCATATACGGGAAAAATGTTTCTGAAACAAAATCTTCCACATCAAAAATATAAGGGATAATTATCTGTTGGACATCCAAAGTGATGGTCCTTTGCTGACGGACACCTACTTTGGAGCATTTTACCATAAGACACTCTGGTTTGGTAAAATTAGGCCACATGACATCGTGGGCCGGTTGTAGCCGGTTGAGGAGAGATAACAGCGGTGAAATGACATTCTTGCCCCTGTCGCTTTCTTCTTCCTCTCTTCCTTTCTCTTTTTTCTGTTTCCTGTTCCCGCCACCCTCTCCACCTCGCACACCCACCGTTGCGCGTCACGCCATCGCGGGCGGCTGCGCCTCCGACGTCCGTGCCTCCGGCGGCCCGCTTCGGTGCAGCGCCCCAGCCTCGCACGTTCGGTGGGCCGCGCCTCCGGCGGTCTTCGATGGCCGTGCCTGGGATGGAAATCGAAGCTCGGTGGTTACCCGTTGCATGTAGGCGGGCGACATAAGGGAGCGGAGCGCGGCGAGGTACTCGTTTCATCTGCTTGCGGCGGTTGTGCTCCACGGCAATGTGGATCATCCACTAGCTCTCCACCTCCTCCACATTCTTCACTGGCCTTGTCCTTCGCCGCTTCCTTCTTCCGGCCGCCGTTGTCGCCGTCAGAAGCCGGATGCACGACCGCCACACCTTCTGCGCCAGCCGGAGCATCAGCAGGAACGCGGCGAGGATGAGGATCTTGATGATGCAGTCGATGGTCCAATATAGGCTGCTCTTGCCCACCTCGTACCACGGCGGCACGGCGACGTCGTCGGAGCCTGCGGCGATGCGGGCAAACAGGGCCTCGGCGCTGGTGATCAGGGGCATGCTGTATCCGACCGCCTGCACGCCTAGCATCACCAGCGACACGTACGGCATCACGTCTGTGTTTGCCTTGATGTACATCAGTTGGCTCAGCTCCACGGCGATGGCCGCCGCCGGAGCGTCAGCAACGGCGAGTGCGGGAGGCGGAGAGGGTGGCGAGGACAGAAAACAGAAAAAAAGAGAAAGGGAGAGAGAGGAAGAAGAAAGCGGCAGGGGCAAGAATGTTATTTCACCGCTGTTCTCTCTCCTCAACTGGCTGCAACCGGTCCACGGTGTCCTGTGGCCTAATTTCACCAAACGGAGTATCTTCTAGTAAAATGCTCTAAAGTGGGTGTCCGTCAGTAAAGGACCATTACTTTGGATGTGCAACAGACAATTGTCCCAAAATATAAAGGACTGATTACAGCCCGATGAAACAGATCAAGCACATATTCAAACAGAGAAATTTGGCAAGAGCTTTGCTTACGACAACAAAAAAATATCACGCACATTTCATACTCATACACAGGAAATTGTAGGACATCAAATTATGTCGCTTCGCCCAGCTTAATCCACACGCTCCCTCGTCTCCCTGCCTGCGTGGATCCACGTCCGAGAGTCGCGTTGCCCGGATGCCAAGTTAATTTGCTCTGCCCCAGCTTATAATGGCGAGTCCAATACATGAATCCCACACGCTCCCGCGTCACCCTGTCCGTCGGGCCCCACCTCCCCACAAAAAAAGCACACCCGCGCGTGCGCCTTAGCTACAGCATGCGTCGGTGGCGGTGGACACCTGCGACCTACGACCTGCTGGCTGCTGCTGTACGTAGTCCCAGCGTACGCGGGAGCGCGCGTCTCGCCATGGACACGGGCAATGCGATGCTGCAGTATGTGTTGGCGGCGGTTGCGGCACTCGCCGCGCTCTGCGACGTGCTCGCTGTGTGCTCTGCTTCGTCCGGCGCGCCCTAGCTCCAGCCTTTGCCGCTGGCGGTGGACACCTGCCAACTGTCGTCCCGCTCGCCCCCCCCCCGTGCGCGTGTGCCCGTGCATCTACGGCTCTGTGGCCCGCTTGCCTCGTGCGTCTGCACCCTGCTTGCCCTCGTGCGAGAGCAGGAACGAAGGAACGACGTGCTGTGTTCCGTGGGCCGAACGAACAGAACTCATGCACGCACGTAACAGACGACTCCGTTGCGTGGTGATTCACCTGATGCCCGCACGTAACAACTTGGCCCATTAGTCTTCGACATCCACATAAAAGAAGGAAAAACGGGATGAATTTAGAAACAGTTTAGGGTTCCAATGCAAATGTGTTATTAGATTTTATTAATTTTTAAAAAAGTATAATAATAAAACACAGAAATGATAATTAAAAAATGAAACCAATTTTGTTAGGTTACTATAAACCAGATCTACACGATATATGTCATAAAGATCATGAAATATGCTTTATGTAATCAAATTTGTATATTTCTTAATATATTCGTCTAAACCACAAGCCATGTGCATTGTCGTAGACATGGATAAAAAAATTGTTAATATGTTTGTCTAAACCATAAGACACGTGCATCGTTGTACAGATGAATACAAATTCGTTGCCCCGTGCAATGCATGGACAGATATCTAGTAATATTAAAAGTTTTAAAAGTTTTCTCTGTTAAAAGTTACTTCTAATTTTAGTATTATTATTTTAAAAGTTTTGTCGGTTAAAAGTTACTTCTAATTTTATTAATACTATAATATTGTTATTAAACTTTTAATACTATAACACTATTATTGAAAGTTCTAATACTATAATATTACTATTAAAAGTAATAGTATGTTATAGTATTATAGTATTAGTAATATAGAAAAGTTATTTCTATAATACTACTATTAAAACTTTTAAAGTAATACTAAAATTAGAAGTAGCTTTTAATAGAGAGAAAACTTTTAATACTATAGGAATTTCAATATTATTATAATACTATTAATGATACATAAATACTAAACTAATTTTAGTATTTTTCTATTGTAGTTTAAACCTAATATATTTGTTGTTGTAAATTATTTTAATACTTTAATTTATCTTTTGCTGATGTCAATTATTTTATATAATTTATATTTTCATGATAAATATTATATAAATAGTGATTGATTAATTGACACATGTTGGATCCACGTCTAACGTACAGTCAACGTGTCACGCCAGCTTATAGAGTAGGTTAGACCATATTTGGATAGGGATGATACCGCTTGCCAAGTTTAAGGACGTGTGGTGATCACCTTGAAAGTTCAGGACCAAGATGACATCACCTGCCCAAGTTTAGGGACCTGCGGTGATCACCCTAAAAGTTCAGGACCTGGATAACACTGTCTCGCCAAGTTTAAAGACCCACATATATCATTTTAGAAGTTCAAGGACCCTAAATGACAAAACCGCCAAAGTTTAGAGAGCGAGGGTGAATTTTACTCAGAAAAAAACACCATGCAATAGGGTATTCAGCTTCCCTGCGCTTTTTGTGCTAGTGTCACGGCGGGGCGTCGGCATGTTCAGTTGGGCATAATTTACTCTGCTTGCGTTGGATACGAGGATTATCCATGCAACAAGCCAGATTAGAGGCAATACTATTGTCCTATTTGTTTGGCTGATAAACCATAGCTGAAAAAGTACTGTTGACTAATTTATTATGAGAGAAAAATATTTTTCGTTAACTGAAAAAATATAATTTATAAGACAAACGAACGTGGCGATATAACGACCATGGAGTACTTACCCACGACGGCTGACACTGATGGGCATTACTTCGTCTCCGCCATCGAGCTGACTGATCTGAGCAGAGCAGCCCACACCGATCGGGCTGCTGCTAAAAACACATGTTTTATTCCAACGGATCCAACATGCAAGTGGGAGTAGCATATGTGACTTATTCATGCGTTGGATGCAGCTGGTTTGATGCATTGACCAAGTCTACATCTCGTGGGCCCGGACTCCAGGGTCTCGGTCTCGGTTGTTATATATATATATATATATATATATATATGAATAATAAAAAATCTGGCTTGGCCAACAGTATTACATCAAGTGGCACACTCCTACGCGGTCGCTCTACCGGTACCACTACCGGAATCAGAGCGTGATTTCAGTATATAACCAAAGTCGATGCATGCATGTCCCTGCCAAACGTACCAAGTCCAAATCTGCCACTAAAAAAAAAAACACTTGTGATTTTTCAACTTTCGCCGTCGCGGGTGGTTTCATGCATTGACCACTCGAGCTCGTCTCGTTCAATACGTACGTTAATCTTGCATTGTATGACGGGAGGGGACAGCAACAGGCAGCCAGGTACACTAGCAGCTAGCAGTGAGAACGCGGAACTGGATGGAGTATAGCATATACGTAAGCGGCCTAGCTAAATTAGTCAAAAAGAAGTGGTCTTCCGACTTGATTCGTGACAGTAACCTTTGACATGAATTCCTTTCCTTTTTTCTTTTTCAAAACACGAACACAAAAAGGTTATATACATGCATTCCACTTATCCCCGTAGACACACATACATATTCGAGTAATCTAGCTATGGGGCACCTCGATGGGTTAGGTAGATACATTTTGGGATAGATAAAATCACCACATATATCTATCTCACTATATACATGACTATCCATTCATTAAAAGAATAAATAGTTGTAAATATTGCCACCCATGTGTTGAGATAAAGACTCGAATCCGAGTAGACATGTCCCACCACGAGAAGTTTCTCAACTGAATGCATATACATAGGATAGAAGTGTACCGGACAGTAATGTAATTATAATAAGAAGATAGATTGCTCAAGTAACATGGAGAATTTTATAAGCAGACGTAAAACTAAGTATGAGCTATGTGTTCTTATACTCCCTCCGTTTTTTTTAAGTTCACATTTGGTTTGTCCTGAGTCAAATATGTGTATCTTTGACCATTGATTTTAAAAAATTTATATAGTTTCATGTAATATGATTTATATTTTTAGATTTATTATGAGAAAAAACTATCATGATATATAATTCATATATTGTGAAACTATAAGGATTTTTAAGAATGGTTGGTCAAAGTTTGCAATGTTTGACCTCGAACGAACCAAGCCTGACACTTAAAAAAACGGAGGGAGTACGCGTTAACACGGCAGCTAGCGTTGAATTTTAGCTCAGTACAAAGTTATTATCACTCCCCTTTCAAAAAAAAAGTTATTATCACTCGCTTTTACCAGCAGAGATTAGGGAGAGCCTAAGTCGTCAGTGATACGACAGCGGCAGTAACACAAGAGAAAGGACGACAAGGACAGCTTGTTCCTGTTCCCCCTCCCGACTTTGACTTGTACAGTGGATACTTGCCGACACTAGCTAGTAACAATTGGCCTCTCAATCGAGGTAACTACAACTTGTTCGGGAGGCCGTATCGTATCGTGGATTATTTACCGCTGGCTAGGTTTGGTGTAAGAGAAAAAGACTGTTCCCAGCTGGAAATTTACGATCGTTTACGAGCAAGCGAACAGGCTATAACTATCCGATCAGCTAATCAGATTGACACACCGTACCGATGTGGTTTGGAATTTCCCCAAACTGATTCCATTTCTAGATGGATGCATCGATCAACCAGTCGTCTTCTAGCTAGCCCACCGTGTGGAATGTGGAAGCGCTGATGCCATGAATTGCTCCCAAGTCCACCGGCGACTTGCTGGGTATAGATTGGCACTTTGGCACGGTACTGTCACGTGCAGTTTTCAACTCTCCTAGCTGCCACAAGTCAAACGCAGAGAGTGACCCCCACCGGTAGTCAAAGTACTGCTCCTAGTAGACCCCACATTTGGCGCGGCGCGCATGGGAACTAGGAAGGCGCCAAGAGGAGATCATCAATATTCGCGGCCGGCCCCACCGGTCGACGACAGTACCATACGATACGATGCTGCCAAAGCAGCATGCAACGGCATGCGAATTGCGCAACTTGTTTCGGGGAAAAAAACGAGTAGCAATCAAGTAGTAGAAGACCCAATCAAGTAGTAGTAGAATTGCGTGCCTAGCCCTCGATGTCACGATAATTGGATAGGATAAGAATAGATGTAAGACTGTCTTCAATAGGTGATATATATGGAAACTCAAATCTAAAATGGGCAGTAAAAGATCTAAAATTAGTCTTCAATAGAGTAGCTATACGGGAGATCCATTTTGGGTTGTCTGAAAGGACACGACCCAAATATGAGTATCCTTCTCCTGGAAACCCATTGCAGAAAGGATTCTCTTTTGGGTCCCGTTATTGGAGAGGATGTCGAATAGGTATTGAACACTTTAATTGTAGCGCTACCCAAATATTGAATGGATCTTGTATTTTGGATGTTGTTGTTAGAGATAGTATAAAGGGCCTTGCATTGGCGATGACACTTTGGCACGCCGATTCGCGAAAGCTACTAACGATCGTCACAAAATACTTTTCAATGGTGAGTTCAGTTGATCGTCACAATCACGTACGTACTACGTTCGTCTAAATTACAGTCCGTTATGCGTAATAATCAAACACGAGCCGATCGAGAAACGGCGCATGGAAGCTCTCGTCATGGCGCCACCGCCGGCACCGGCTCCGAGTGCACTCTGGCCGTGACGCCGATGGCCTCCGTGGACTCCGCCCTGTACGAGTACCTGCAGCTCAGCGCCACGAACGCGGCCAGGTTCGCGGCGGCCAGCGCGGCCAGGAACGCGTAGTAGAGGTCGAGGCGCGACGCGTTGAGGTCGTCGGTCACCCATGGCGTGCCCCTCCCGGCGGCCGTCACCCGCGCCACGGCCGACAGGACGGCGCTGCTCAGCATGCTGCCGACGCCGTACGCCGTCAGGGACATGGCCGTGCCGAGGCTCTTCATGCTCTCGGGGGCCTGGTCGTAGAAGAACTCGATCTGCCCCACCACCAGGAACGCGTCGGCGGCGCCCATCAGCACGAACTGCGGGAGCAGGACGAGGATGGTGAGCGGCAGCGGCTCGCCGCCGGCCGTGGCGCCGTGGCTCCTCGCGAAGCTCAGCCTCCGGCTCTCCACCGCCGCCGTGGTCGCCATCGTCACCACCTGGAGGGCCAGCCCGGCGCCGATGCGCTGCAGCAGCGTGATCCCGCGCGGGTTCTTGGTGCGCCTCCGGACGGCGGGGACGAGGGCGCGGTCGTAGACCGCCACGCAGACGAGCATCGTCAGCGTGACGACGGCGCCGAGGCTGGCGGGGGGAACCCGGAACGTGCCCGTGCCGCGCCCGACGTGGCGGTCCAGCGTCACGCCCTGCTTCACGAAGAGCGTGCCCACCTGCGCCATCAGCGCGCACGGCACGAACATGGTGGCCAGCAGCGGCACCAGCTTCGCGATCTGCTTCGTCTCCTCCACCTCAGTCACCGTGCACAGCGGCGTCCACCCGGAGGGGGAGGCGTCCTCCTCCTCCACCTTGACCGCCGCTTTGTTCAGGAACCCCATGGAGCTCGTTGGGTTCACGCGAAACCTCTTCTTGCTGGTGTAGTGCTCGGGCTCCAGTTCGTGCAGCTCGGTCAGGTCCCCAGGAACCGCAACGCGGCACTTCCACACGGCCGCGCAGACCACCTTGCCCATTTTCGTGATCGGGCTGCCCTGCGGTAGCTTGTGCCGGTACAGCGGCGTGCCGGCGAGGAAGACGGCGACCGAGGCCGCGAGCGCCAGCGTGGGCACGCCGTACCCCCACGACCAGCTCACGCTGTCCTGGAGGTAGACGAGCACGGTGGTGGAGAAGAGGATGCCCGTGAACACGGTGAACATCCACCAGTTGAAGAAGGACAGCTTCCGCAGCCGCTCAGCCGGGTGGAAGTCGTCGAACTGGTCGGCGCCGATGGTGGAGATGTTGGGCTTCGTGCCACCGTGTCCCAGCGCGATGGTGTACAGCCCGCCGAAGTAGACGCCCAGCTGCAGCGCGGATGCGCGTGGGCAGGTGGCGCTGGCGCCGGCGCCGGGGTCGCAGGGCGGCGGCTTCAGTGCCGGCACGGAGACCGCCAGCGTCAGCAGCAGCATTCCCTGCGTTTGATTCGGCAACAATTCAGACGCCATAGAACCTATGCTGCGTTTTCGTGGCCAGCCCATTTTGCAAATGGCCCGCCAATAGCCCAACAATAATGATAGAGATCTTGTGACAGCTAAAGCGGATAAAAAACGCTGAACGGGAAGCGTTGCGGCCCAGATTCTATGTAATGGTCTTGGATTACGCGTAGGTTGGGTCAAGTCTCGGTAGGCCTTACCAAAAGGCTTACTTGGGCTATTGCTTGTGTGATTCTAACTATTTAGGCCCAAGTTGCGCCCGCAACAACTACAGCTATAATACAGTAGCTCTCTGAATGATCCTCCAGAAAAAAAAGTAGCTCTCTGAAATCTGTATGTTTGTATGAAGTTTTCTACAGAGATATCATATTTACTGTTAATATAAACTGATAAGCTTCTATTGAGTCATGCTACCTTCATCCCAATTTTGTTCTAAGTTAATTTGTCTAAAATTTAACCAATTTAATACAAAAGACTACTAATAATCATATTATCGAATAATTATCATTAGACGAAATACTCCCTCCGTATGACGCTTTTCACTTTTAGATATATATAACGTTTGATCATTTGTCTTATTCAGTTTTTTACAAATGATAAAGTAAATAAGTCATTATTAAAGTGTCTCTAATGATAAGATAAGTCATAACAAAATAAATAATATTTATATATACAAAAATTTTGAATAAGATTGTCGGTGTTTTGTCAACCGACTAGTAAATTTATACGATTGCCACGCTGCTCCAGGAAAACGATGGTAGCATCCAAAAGACACGAGGAATTATACGGGTTCAGGGCGGAGCCCTAGGTCTAGTTTCAGAGAAGATCGAGTGCGTGTTCCTCGCTTGAATGCTCTGAAGTTCTTACAATAGGGGGGTGCAAGAATGGTGGAAGAGGTAGGAGAGTGGAGCTAGAGTTAGAAGATGGACTGCCTGAATGAAGGTTTCGAGAGTCCGATGCCTTCGATGGGTGCCCTGGCTGCCCTTATATAGAGTCCGGGGCCAGGTCACATACAAAGAAGAAGGTTCTCCCGACCGAGGGGTCGTAAGCTTGAGGGAGGGAACCAAGCTAACTTGCTTGCAAGGAACGCCATCTTGTCTTGGTGTAGCGCACGTTCGGGCGTGGTTGTCATCATTGTCTTGCGCCCACGTCGCGGCATGGGGTGGTGTGGTGCTACTATGCCGGTTGTGGCGGCACTGTAGGCATGGCGGTGATTCGCCAACTCTCTTGTGCGACGTGGTCTCGCCGTGGCCTTCGTCATCGCCTCCTGATCATCCGGGAGCGTCGTGCGGGAGTTGGTAGCTACCCCTAGGTCATTGGTCGTCTTGCTGCTTGCGGAGCTGGTGGCCACGATCTTGAGCTCTGGGGTCGTGTCCTTCATTGGCTTGGATGGCCTTAAAAGTCAAGGCCGCCGTCGTGAACCCCATTCCGTAGTAGATGAGGTCGTACACCCGTCTCGTCGGGCCGTATTTGGATGGTGGGTCACCGTACTGGCCGCCACTGCTTGGTGGTGTTGTCTTGCCTTCGCTGCGTGGCGCAGGGATGGCGTCTGACCGGACGGAGGGGACTGTTGTCCCCTCAGTCCTTGCGGGATCAGTGCGGCGTGCCTACTCTTGTCAGAGCAGGTGCTCCTAACGGAGCCCGATCTCTCCCCATTCCTCCCGGGGGTTGGGGCGGAGGAGAGGTCGTGTGGCGTTGCACGGCGTGCGGTGAAGGCAGAGATAAGAGGTCATGGCCAACCCTTGCCTTAGTGCTTGGCCTAGGTCCACATAGCGTAGTTGGGCCTCGGTCGTTCAGGCTTATACCAGCTCATGTACCGTGGGCCGTCCGAGCGGCTAGATAATCGGTACCTTGAAATGCCCGGGTTATCATAACCCCGACAAAGATGAACAGTCAAACATGACTCTAAGAAGTCAAAAAAAGCGTCATGTATCTTAGGACGGAGCCGAGTATATGTACCAGTGTCATAAATGTTAACAATTTTCTCTGTAAATTTGGTAGTTTGACTTAGGACAAAACTTAAACATTAAATGCTTTTATTGGACGATGGAAGTATTTGACATACTTCAGTAGTACTTTTCAGCGAGCGAATAGTATTTTCGTATCACAACGAATCAGTATAAGCATCGGTATTAGATAAATTTCAGCGAAACGAACAAGACCTTAGTACTTCCAAAAGTAGTCATGAAGCCAACCGAACAGTCCTATCATCGTAAACCTCAAATAAGTTCCTTTCTACTAATGTTAGTAGAACAAAAGCATCTGATGCGCTTTTTTTAGAAAAAATGGAAGGCATCTGATGCTCTGCCTTCTGAACCTGTAGTTTACAATGTTGCTCACAAAGTAGTTGCTCATCAGCTGGTTGGAATGGATTTGTCCTAATAAAGTACTAACAAGCATTCAACATGTAATTATTGCGCAAGCATGACAATAAAGGACTCATTTATTGCAGGGCATTTTTTTTCTTCCAAATTTAACAGGAGGTTCATTACCATCACTGTTTTTCTAGGATACACAAAAACATGGGACACCAAAGAAAATATATCCAACGGCTAGAAATAAAGAATCCAAGAATTAACTTGCGAACGGTTTATTTTTTAAACGCACTGTAATGGCATACAAATTAATGAACGTAATAACTAGTTAGTGAGGACTCAGGAGGGGTAATTACTAATTACTAGCGATGACGTGCATACCAGTAGGTAGACGGCGGAGCCGGCGACGAAGGTCCAGTAGCGGCCAAGGTAGGCGTCGGCGAGGAAGGCCCCGAGGAGCGGCGTGAGGAAGACGGTGCCCGACCAGTTGGTGACGTTATTGGCGGCCTGGACGGTGCCCTGGTGCAGCCGCTCCGTCAGGTACACGACCAGGTTCGCCGCCACGCCGTAGTACGCCATTCGCTCGAACAGCTCGTACACTGCATGTGCATGCGTAACGTAGTCATAGATCCATGGCCCATGGGCACGCGAAGCAAATCCCGGCGGCGAAACATTGCCGCCGGCCGGCCGGCCGGAGAAACGAGAGAGCGCCGCTAGCTGACTCTGAATCTCTCTGACGACGAAAAACGTACAGTACAAGTACGTACCGACGATGAAGGTGCAGGCGGTCCAGCCACCGCGCTTGGAGCGGAGGACGGGGTTGCCGCGGAGGTCGACGGAGCCGTCCTTGGTGTACTCCCCTCCTCCTCCCCCTCCCTCGCCGTTCTCCATGGCCGCACGCAGGAACTGGCTCAAGGCCAGAGGCGACTGGCGAGGAGAGCCTAGAGCGAGCTCGGTCCTGCTGCTGCTGCTGCACTCGCTGCTGGAGTGTAGTGCTGTGCCGTTCTCTGGGCTCTGGCTGAGCAGCTGAAGGGAGTAATGATGCGTGCATTAAATTGTGTACCTACGCGTGCCCTCCTACCGCTCTGCTTCCCCTGTATGTTTGCATTGAAGGCATTTACTGTGCTCTGCGATTTTGCACCGGCATTTACCACGACGCCCTCCCTCCACAACGACGACGACGAGCAGCGAGCACGTAGAAGCGTGCCCGGACAACGTGCGGTAGTCGAGTGATGACGTGCAGCAGTGCAGGGGCACACCGTGTTTGTGCAAAATGCACCCACACGTACATCATCTCAAGTGCGAAAACACACAGTTCGGCGCTTCAGAGAAACACACCAGCAGGAACTGGGAAAGGCAACGGGGGATTCGAATATCTATATGATCGCTCGCCGATGGATGCAGTTCGGTGGATGCGTGCGCGGGGCTATCGGATTACCAAACAGTATCCACGTAGGCATACGAACAGAAGTAGTTTTTCACCGACCAGCACTCACAACTTCACAAGCCAATCTTATTGATCATTCTGTTGACAAAAAGAGTTCAGAGAAGTTGCATTCAGATTTGAGAATCAAATAAAAAAAATCAACTTTGGATTAATATGTATAAAATTATTGAGCAAAACAAGTAAAAAAAACCGGCCTTGCCGGTTTGGATTGCCCCGTTGCACATGCAGCTGAAAGACCGACCGGTTTTGACTGGCTATTGACGTAGATATTTTAGAAATCGACATGAGCCGATTTTGGCTGTCCGAGTCTAATTCAACTTAAATTCGATGGAAACTTCTCTGATCTTGTGAAAAACTTGCAGATTATATCTTGATAAGTTTTTCTATTGAGATAAATCAGCCTGTTCGTTTGTTGGTTTCAGCCACGACTTATCAGCTATGGTACAATATTTTTCTTTCATAATAAGCCAGCACCAGCTAGACTTATCAGCCTAGAAACCAACCAGCGAACAGGCTGTATATCTATATATCAAATAATAACCACGGTCGATCAAAAATCAACCTACTATTACTTTCTACTACCTTTAGCTCTTCTAAACTCATGCTATCAGGGCTTTTCTCGATGAGATTCGTTGGCGTTCTAGGTGGCCTTGTAGATTCTAGTGCTACCATGTTGTGCTCCTCCTCGATGGGTCTTTTCGAGAGATGTTTGTGGGCTTTTTGGGCAAGAACGGGCATCAAATTTGCACGGTCGGTCTCACTATTTTGATCTCTCTCTCTCTCCATTGCATGCTTGGACGTGTGTCTTGTCTGGCGTAGCCCTTGTTGCTATGTGACCTAAATCGGCGTCAACATATTTTTTTCGAATTCGCTGGGACAGAAAGCGATAAGATCTACTAAAAAGATGTCTAAAGACAACGTCAAAAAGGTGAGTGATATGACCGATACAAAGAATCAGGACAACATCTTCTTGCCTTAGCGGCTTGTTTGTTTCCCCTCTAAACTTTAGTCTCTGTCACATCGGATATTTTGACATATGCATGGAGTATTAAATATAGACTAATTACGAAACTAAATGCATAGATGGAGATTAATTTGCGAGACAATTTTTTAAGCCTAATTAGTCCATGATTTGACAATGTGGTGCTACAGTACATGTGCTAATGGCGGATTAGTTAGGTTTAATAAATTCGTCTTACGGATTGATGAGGACTTCTATAATTTGTTTTATTATTACTATCCAAACACTCAATCCAAACACTCAATATGACAACCTCATATAATACCCGATACGATGCCCTTAAACCTTAGGAAACCATAGTCCCTCGCAAACACCCCCTTTGTATCCAGAGAAACTTCCCGCGAGCTTCGCTAGAAGCTGGAAGCAAAATTCCATAACTACCGCGAGTGCATGGTCATCGTCGTTCTCGTCAACCGCTGCACTCGGGTTACTTAAACCATATAAGTGTCAAGTGGTCTCTAAACTATATATTTTTTTTTAAAAGAACGAGGAAAAAAATCTTTCACTATTTTCCGAAACTGAAACCAGGAGCTAGCCATGGTAGATTTCGCATGAGGCTCCCACAGCCTTCTCACCTACTGCCTCTGTCTCCTGCTACTATCATCCCCAGCCCACCTGGTGTTGAGCATGGACGTCGACAACCATGATGATTTCGACGCCGATGACACATTCTCTAGCAAAGTGGCACTGGCACGGCGCATCAACGGCAACGGCTTCACCATGCGCGGGGGAGACAGGTAGCCCGCAAAAGAGAGAAAGATCTAGTTCGATTAGGAATTCCCTACATGTAATCGTAGTAACATTGTTATGCTGTAAATCATACTAGAACTCTTATATTATAACCGACTAGGAGACTTGCCTCCTGAGCTATATAAAGGAGGGCAGAGCTCCCTAGATCGGCACCCAAGAGAAACAGACCCCACAGTCTAAACCCTAAGCGTAGGGCGCAATATACTTTTCCACCCAGACTAGACGTAAGACGCTATTTCGATGGACCGAACCAGTATAAATTGTTGTATAAATTGTTGTCTCTGCGTTCACCGTCGAGTTCTGCATACGCCGAAGGCCACCAACCATGGTCCTGGGTAACCCCGTGACGAGTTGCCGGTCATAAAACACCGACAGCTAGCACGGTAGGTAGAGGCTTTCGGCGTAATTGCGATTGAGAGCTCGGCGAACCTGAAAATCAACATCTTGTTCTCACTGGCATCCTACGACTCGGAGTTTTCTGTTCCATGGTGGATAATCGGCTAGTCGGCGTCTCTGCTGGCGTCAAGACCAAAGCGGAGCCAAGTCCAGATTGGATCAGAAGTTAGCGCCATGTTCGTTTGGGCTTGTTTGACTTATAAGCCATGGCTGAAAATACTATTGACTGGTTTAGTGCGAGAGAAAAATACTGTTCATTAACTGATAAGCCATGATTCATAAGCCAAATACAAACAAACGAGCAGGCTGTAGATTTCTATCTCGGCGATTCACCTAGTCGGAACCGACGCTCAGGCCAACAGAAAGCTACCTGCTGCGGAGCCGAGGAGAATCGGTCGTACTGCCGTTGGTGGCGATGGAAAATTCATGCTGCTGCACATGTCCCGAACTGAGATCATCACCGTGCGGCTCCGATTTCCAACTCGTCTGCTGTTTGTCTTCTCAAGATCAATTTGCTGTACACGCGAATCGTGACGTCCAGACAGAACGAGCAACCAAGCAAGGGACTCGAAACGAGCAACCAAGACATGCAAGCTAATTGCGGAATCCTGCTTCGGCTTGCAACGTAACTCCACGCACTCGTCAGACTACGACTTCGCGCAGCCGTCCGACTGCATCAAGCCGTCAAGCCGGAAGCAAGCTGTCCGACTGCATCAAGCTATCCGACTATTGTTCGACTGCATCAAGCCAGAGACGAGCAGTCCGACTGCATCGAGCCATCGAGCCCACATCCATCTTCGGATACTACGGCTCACCGACTCCTCTGCTTGGGCCATGAATCAAGCTTAAGTTATGTTTTAATATTTTTTTTAAATATTCTTTAATATTTATATATCTCCGGATATTATATATATACCTCCGCGGCCATACAATACTATAAAACTACGTTACTAACTACTCACACAGCTCCGCGCGAGTAGTCGGGACGACATGTGCTCCACGCATATTCTCTTTTTTCGTGCAGCGCCGACTACTCTAGTCTTCTCTTGACGGTTGTACAAATACTTGAGTAATACGAACTCACATTTGTGACGCACTATTTACTCGCACGGCTCACATGGTCACGGTCATGAACCTCACGATCATACGCCGGAGATACAAGTGCTTATAAATACGGGGTTAACTACTCGGAAAATTTACAAAGCCTAGCAAGAGGTGCAAATTTTTACATGTATTTTATAATACTAGGATCCGCTCTCAGCCTATTATTTTATATGTATGGGATCTGCTTCCAACTTGATATCCTGAATATCAATAACTCTAAAATTTTATATATTTATCTTGCAGGGATGAGATCTGGACCATGTGACCGGGTGAGCTACGCGACTCGGCAGGCTTCTTGCTCGGTAATAACGTCGCTGGGCATATGTACTCGGGGTTTACGAAACATCTACAACACCATGCGTGCCTGATGATGCAAGCAAGCTAGTCATTGGCAACTTACACGTACATCAACACAACGACATACGTGTTGCTGTACGTATTCAAGGCGGACGAACAGCCCAAGAACCGCTGGGCCTTCAATGATTCGACTTCATATTACTCGGCATAGGATGCCGGCCTTCAGACTCTGGCTCTCAGACTTCGGCCGACCAGCTACAAGCAAGACGCACGGACTACAACAACATGCAAGATGACGACAAGTTATTGAGAGATCTAAATTATACATACGTACATGCTCTCACTACAGGTGTACACGTATATACTTATCTATCTACTCGGATGCCACGCCACTAAGCTCGGGGGCTCGGTCATTATCTCTACCTACTTGGCTTCACTCTAACTACACTCGGGGGCTCGAATTCAAGGATACAAGACCAAATTTACAAGCATTCAACCACTTGACTACAAGCAGTAATCGATCCTTGTCTTCGAAAGATTACTCGGCTGCACCCTTGAGGACGTCTACAAGATCCTATAATCGAATCCGAGTAGTTGGATTGTAGGCTCGGGGGCTGCGGGATATATATATCCTTAGAGGATGCATTCAAATTTCTTCGACGAGGAATTGCAGACAAGATCCTCAAACTCTTTGTTCTAAACGACAAGAGGCTCGGGGGCTAAGCATATATGCTTCACCTAGAGGTGACACATATTGACTTCAAGAACACTTCATAGTTTCACTCAAGAAAGCACTCGGACGAAGCTTGTTTCTACTCGGCAAGACCTGGAGGAACAAGAAGTCTTCCAAAGTTCAACCATACAGTGCTCGGGGCTTGTGGGACATAGTCCTCGGGTACCCCGCAAGGAAGGAAGAAGATCTAGTCCGAATAGAAATTTCCCACATGTAATCGTAGTAACATTGCTATGCTGTAATCCTACTAGGACTCTTACATTGTAACCAACTAGGAGACTTGCCTCCTGGGCTATATAAAGGAGGGCAGGGCTCCCTAGATCGGCACCCAAGAGGAACAGACCCCACGGTCTAAACCCTAAGCGCATGGCGCAATATACTTTTCCACCCAGACTAGACGTAGGACGCTATTCCGATAGACCGAACCAGTATAAATTGTTGTCTCTGCGTTCACCGTCGAGCTTTGCATATGCCGTTTGTTGTGGTTCATTTCAGGCAATGGAGATATTGAGGAAGGTGGGTCAGATTGCATAGCTAGGGAAGGAGATAATCAGAACACTTTTCCCATGGTGCTAATTAAATTCCATCCTCAAATATCATGGTTTCCAAGGTATCCACACTGATTTCTTTAATATATGATCATTTTCATACAAAATCTTCTCTTTGTATGTGTTCTGAATCGATGTATATCTTTTTTGTTCATATTATAACTAAATAACAATTGCTGGAAAACATTATATATTGCTATTGTCATGTATAACACATTAACACATGTGCAAAATTGAATTACCATGATCTTGATTTTGGCTTGGCTACCAAACATATCGTGGCATTTTTGTTGCTTCCGTTAAAACGCAGGTCATGACATTGTTTTGTTCTCATTGCAACGCACGGGCATCATCCTAGTTGTTAAAAAAATAGTGCCCTGAAGCTTGTGATTATCGGGTGATAAATCATAAGTTGTTCCAAAAAACATAATAACAATACAGGTAAGCTTTCAGTCCTGTAAATGTATATTGCTACTGGAAATTAAAATCCGTCAATTATAAAGCTATTCAACTTTAGAATACTATGGTAGAAATTAATGTATTTGAGTACCGACCATAAAATCATAGAAAGAAGAGTAAAATTTGAACAAATATATTGAATAGAGCTAGCTAATTGGATTGCAAGTGCATTCCTGTATATTGAACCAAGGTGTAATGCAAGATAAATATATATGCTGAGTCTAATTTATAGGAGAGCATACCTTTCATAGCATCAAGAATGTCTTGGATGATGCAATAAGAGGAAACATGCATTGCCATCAGGTAAGAATTTAGCAGATCCCAAAAATGAACCTCATGCTCGTAGCATCAGCATGTGGCTTTGTGCATCGAACATAATTCACAATAGCGAGGCTTGCAAACAACCATATCTAAGGAAAAACGAAAATACATCTGTACTTTTAGACAAATAAGTTTCAAGAAGATGCATTTAGTAAAACAGTTCAGCTATTATGGCATCTTAAAATTGTGGGAGTATCTTGTGCATGTTATTCTTGGCCTTTTCTCTCTCATATGGAATTCACCGTTACAAAACAATATATATGAGGGGACTATTAAGCATTATATGACAAGATACATAACAATTCTCTCTTTGATAACTTGGGCACTCATCAAGTTGCACTTTATTTATGCTGCTTCCGCGTGCCACGAACAGAAATGACACGTGAATTAGTTTACACACTGGAAAACTGTCCGTATATTGACAATAGCTTCGAAAGATGTATGCTGTAATGGCTCATTAGCTAATCTAGAAAAATCAATAGAATCTCAAACACAGTTAGTCAGAGGCCTGTTTTGGGGCCTTGTAGGATTGAAAAGAAACTGGAACAAATCTGGAAACTCTTCAATTTGGCGCAAATGGAGCACGACCAAAATAAATCAAAGGGAAGGAGAACATTTCATTCTAAGGTAAAAAACAAACTAAAAATTCTATAGATATTTTATGCATAATATACCTAGACTAGAGTATTTAATTCTACAGTACCATATGGGTATTCTTAATAGTGCAGTTCCTAGTTTGGTCAGTAAATTAGTATTGACACTCATTTAATAATATATATTGTTTAGGAAAAAAGTAGAAACAAGATTTTTGGCTAGAATCAGATCAAATCAAATTGAACAGCTATCTTTGGAGCTTACCCCGTGATTACCGTCGATGGTGCAGTTCTCTAGACTGTGAGTTTGAAGCCACAGAAACGATTAAGCGAACAGGGTGAATATTACAAGGTACTATCAAAGTTATAGCATAATGGAAGGGATGGTAATGTTTGTCAAAATAGCCCAGAATCTCGTATATCCTTGTCATGCAGGGTAACAGGTAGCCCGTTTCACCACTTGTCGGTTTACGCCTGGGCCTGGAAAAGGGGCATGAGTAGAAGATCGCGTTAAATGAATGATTATAACAACTGAATCAGTACAATTGGACATAAAGCACAAAAGCATTACTCCATACCATCAAAGCAATAAACTGTTTTAGGATCACTACTAGTTTTCACTATTACTATAAAGCATTTTCGTAGATTTGCAACATGCCACTAGACTCAAGCGTTGCTTCTTGCCCATTCCCATCACATATGGGCACACATTGTCGAAATAAGTGCCTGTTAGTGGATATATTCGGAAAAAGGTATAAACTAATTTGTAAATAATATTTTAGTATCCTTTTCTCCAACAACATAAACAACATACAGATTCATCGTCGGTCATCATGCAAACAGCTCTGCGTATCTGAAGTCAAATACTTAAAGCTAAAATCCCACAAGTATCAATAAAACACAACAAACAAAGAAAGCACACAAATAGCATGCGATTTGCAATGCACAGCAACAAAAGAAAAGCCATTGTAAGCTTGGAATTCAGAATTTAAGGAAACAAGGGATGAAGGACTACCTCTTTTTTTTTCGAAAGATCCGTTACCGGCTTTCATTTATAAGAGAAGAGCATAGCAATTACATGTCTAAAAGGCGCAAGGAGCGCCCATTTGCATGGCTTCACAGTTCATTGAAGGCCACACCACCCCTACAGTTCAATAGCTCAATTTACACGATGCTTGTAACAGCTAAAAATAAGATAAACATCTATACTATTGGTCCAAACGGCGCAACTCCTGGTAGCTGCGCCGGCGATGGTAGCACCATTTCCACGCCTTTGTTTCCAGCGCGTATCCAAACTCTTGCCTCATCCTGAACTTCACTGAAGACTTGTTCAGGTGTTCTGTTGATCTTATTGAAGACGCGGTTATTTCTCTCCTTCCAGATTTCCCAGACGGTTAGCATGACCATTGATCGTACTCCGTGTCTCCTGGTTTGCTGACCGCTGTTACCCATCTCGACAAACCATTGGCCCAAGTAATCAGTCTGACCCCAGTTATCCGGCCTCAAAGCCATTGCCGCAATCCATGAGCCCACCTTGTCCCAAATCATTTTAGAAAAGCAACATTCTTGGAACAGATGTGAGACCGTCTCCAGGTTCCTTATGCACAGCGGACAGAAGTATTCGTTTGGCCATCCCCTAAGTTGTAGACGCGCAGCTGTCCAGATTTTGTTCTGGAGCGTCAACCAAGTGAAGAAGCGGCATTTCGGTGGCGATTTCGTTCTCCAAGTTCTCGGCCGTCATAGATGTAGTCATTCCAATGAATTGCAATTCATATGTAGACTTGGCCGTGTACTGACCATCAGACGTGTGGAGCCAAGTAATTTTGTCTTCATGTGATGGCAGCAGCTCTATGTCCTGTAGACGCCCCCATAAGGCCACAGATTCTGCTATTAGACTATCTCCAACGGGCCAAAACCAAACACAAGACCCATTCTAAGAATTGGGTCAAACACAGTAACTGAGTCACCCCTCAAAATTTCATGCCTCCAACAGCGAACCCAAAATATGAACTGCCCTGCGCTAGGTAGAACAGGCCCTGCCGTGCAGACGCAAGATGGAGCAAAAAATTCCCATGAATCCAAAACCAACCGACCAAGATTAGGAACCAATCCACTAGCTTCAACATGGATCCACCACCAGCCCCTACGAATCAACAACCAACAGACCTGGATCCCCCTGCGAATCAACAACCAATAGATCCACCACCGAAGGCCTGGCACAGGATCTCGGGTGGCGGCGTCGCGTCGGAGACGATGCAGGCGGCGCCGGATCTCGAGTGGCGGCTCGGCGCGTGGACACCGGCGTGCTCCGGCGGCCAGGCGCACCTCGCTCGACGGAGATGGCGCGCGGGGGATCTCGGGCGTCGGGGACGATTCAGGCAGCGCCGGATCTCGAGCGGCGGGACGACGCACGGATCTCGATCGGCGCTGAGCTGCTTGGCAGGGGCGGAGCTCAGACTATGGCGTGCTCGCGCAGCCCGCTCGACGGAGGATGCGCTCGCAGCTCCGGCGCAAGGATTTGGGTCGACGAGAGAGACGACGAAAAAGGACGCATATCTGCGTTTCCTCCCTCCTCCCCAAAATAGGTGCTCGCTTTGCCTATTCCGTTGGAAGCCGGTTTTTCACTGTGCCGGACCCAAAATGGGTTTGGGTAGCGGTATGCATCGTTCGTTGGAGATAGTCTTATCCGCTCACTCATGCTATGATCCACGTACCTCACCCATTTGCTGTTGGTCAGAGCTTCCTTTACTGTTCTATTCTTCCTTTTGCTATGTTCGAACAAGGCTGGAAAGAGGGTTGCAGGTGCCTCTCCATGCAACCAGCGGGAGGTCCAGAATAAAGCCTTGTTGCCATTACCTAAATCCACTATTGTTGCGGCATTGAAAAGTGCTTTGTCCTCGTTGTCCAATGGCAGCTCCATTCCCCTCCACGGTCTGCCTCTGTCATCCCTGTTGGAATGTAATTGGGCCCGTGGGCCTATCTACCGTGACTCCCCACCTAGCCTATATATGTACACTGACTATGCCTGAGTAATACATCGAGTATTCCACTCTTTCATGGTATCATGCGAGGCTACGATCCATATCCTCCGCTTCCGCACAACTAACCCTAGCCGCCGTTCCTTACGACCGGTTGGTTCTGCCGCCGCTGATCCTCACGATTGGCTGCTCCAGGCCGCCGCAGGGCACGTTGCTCGCCGGCCTCCCTTCCTTGCACGTGCGTCCTCTCGCCGTGCCGCCGTCGCAGGGCTTCTCCGCTCACCGGGAGTCCACGATCCAATCGGCGTCTGCGCGTGATCGCCTCCATCTGCCTCACGCGTTCCGATCGACGTCTACGCGTGATCTACGTCGCGGGTCATCCACGTGATCCGCCCGCCAGCGACGCCCGTCCCTGTCTCTACGCCGACCGTCGTCCGTCTGACCTAGTCTCATGGCAGAGACTGAAGCCGAGCGTACCGCTCGCGAACAGCGCGAACAGTGCGAACGCGACGCCGAGGACGCCCGCCGTCACCAAGCTGAGGCCGCCCGCACCGCCGCCCTCGACGCCTATGAGGCCAAGCACGCCGACGTCCATGCCGCCGCCATTGCCGTCCTCAACATCAAGGTGCTCGTGCCAGTGGTCCTCGACCGCGTCGCCAACAACTACACCCGTTGGCGTGCCCTCTTCCTCGTCGTCTTGGGCAAATATGCCCTCACCGATCACGTCCTCAACGATGTCGTCAACGCCGATCGGCTGACGTGGGTGCAGATGGACTGCACCATCCTCACATGGATCTACGGGACGATCAACGCCGACCTCCAGCAGTCCACCATGCTGAAGAACCCGAACGCCCGTGTCGCCTGGCTCCACCTCGAGGACGAGTTCCATGGCCAGCGCGAGTCGCGTGCGCTGCTGTTGTCCGCCGAGTTCCGCACGGTGAAGCAAGGGTCGACGTCCATTACGGACTTCTGCCGTTGCCTCGAGACGATGGCCGCCACCCTACGCGACTTCGGCGATCCCGTCGGCGACCGCACCCTCGTCCTCACGCTGCTTCCGAGGTCTCAGCGCCAAGTTCCGCCCCATGGTGACGAACATCAAGCTGCGCCAGCCGTTCCTGACCTTCGCGGAGGCACGCACGCTTCTGCTCCTTGAGGAGATTGATCTCAACGACGTCACCGCCGACACCGAACCACCACCTGCCCCCGCGCCGTCGGCCCTCATCACCGACTCGTCCGGCCTCATCACCCGCGCCCCCTCCACCTGTCGGCAAGAAGACTTGGTGGCGGCTGCGAGCACCTCCAAATGCGGCGGGGCAGCTCACGGTGGTGGCTGTGGCAACCACCGACAAGCGGCGTCACGGCCGTGGTGGCAAGCAAGAATAGAACCGGCGAGCGGTGCACTGCTTTGCCCGCGGCTCCCGTCCGCCTCCCCTCCTCTACAACACTTGGGGAGGTATGGTTCAGTTTTGGCCGCACCAAAGAGCCCTCCAAAGAAGCTCCCGGTGGGCCGCTTGCCCACCACAGTAGGCCCATGCATGGCGTGCCGCAGCCCCACAACCCAACTCAAGCGCCAGTATAGCTACGACGTTGGTCCACCGCCCGGGTTTGGCTACGCTCCGCCACCACCACAGCAATCGGCATGGACTCCCATGCAGGGAGGGTCTTTCGACACGTCCTCCCTCGCCAGCAACTTCAGCACCATGTCGCTAACTCCACCCGGACCAAGCGAATGGTACGTCGACTCCTGCGCCGGTGCTCACATGGTCAACAACGCTGGTATAATTTCATCCTCTCACACTCCCTTGTCATCAAGTCCTTCATCTATCATTGTTGGTAATGGGGCTTCACTTCCTGTTACTTCCGTCGGATCACACTCCTTTTTTACCACACGACGTCCCCTAGTTCTTTCTAATGTTTTAGTTTCGCCTAACATTATTAAGAATCTAATTTCCGTTCGTCGTTTTACCACTGATAACAACTGTTCCATCGAATTTGATCCATTCGGCCTTTCTGTGAAGGATTTACAGACACGGAGCGTGATCGCCAGGTGTAATAGCACGGGAGATCTTTACCCGTTCTTTTCGCCGGCACCACCCAGCACCACAGCCCTCACTGCTGCCGCACCTTCCACCACCCTTTGGCATCGCCGCCTTGGTCATGTCGGTCCTGAAGCTTTGTCCAAGCTCCTTAGTTCCAATGCTATCACATGTAATAAGCGCCATGACACTCATGTTTGCCACGCTTGTCAGCTTGGTCGCCATGTGCGCCTCCCTTTCCGCTTGTCAAACTCTCGTGCACTTCACCCATTTGATTTAATACATTGTGATCTTTGGACATCTCCTATTGTTAGTGTGTCTGGCTACAAATATTATCTTGTTATTCTTGATGATTGCACACACTATAGCTGGACATTCCCTTTACGCCTCAAGTCCGACACTTTTACCGTTCTCACTCATTTTTTCTCATATGCGCGCACACAATTTGACTCCACTATCAAGGCAGTTCAGTGCGATAACGGCCGTGAATTTGATCATTCCTCGGCCCGCACGTTCTTCCTCACTCACGGGGTTGCCTTTCGAATGTCGTGCCCATACACCTCTCAGCAGAACGGGCGGGCTGAGCGCGCTCTTCGCACCATCAATAATATCGTGCGCTCTCTTCTGTTCCAGGCCAGTCTTCCTCCTGTTTATTGGGCGGATTCCCTTCACACTGCTACCTATCTCCTCAACCGCCACCCTACAAAAACCTTAGACGGCCGAACACCATACTTCGCACTATACGGCATGCAGCCCTCCTACATCCACCTTCGTGTTTTCGGCTGTGCCTGCTATCCCAACCTGTCATCTACAGCTCCACATAAATTATCACCACGTTCCTCCTTGTGCGTCTTCCTGGGGTATTCTTCTGATCACAAAGGCTATCGGTGTCTTGACCTTCATTCTAATCGGATCATCATCTCCCGACACGTTGTCTTTGATGAGACGGTGTTTCCTTTCGCCGATATGTCCACCTCGCCCCAGGATCCCACCGCACTTGATTTTTGGATAACATCGATGATTTCTCTTTACCCAATGGGTCAAGAGCTGTGCATGCAGTACCCGTAGCTTGCAATGCCATGCGATTGCACCCACCCACACTGGTGGTGGTGCATCGGCGCCCATGCAGGCACTACCGCACGCCAGGCTTGCTCCCAAAGAGCAAATGCTTGCTGCCAGCCAAGCTCAAGCAAGCAGCGGTCTTGTCCTGGCGCCCCAAGCAGCAGCTGCAAGATCGCCCAAGGCTCTCCCGCAAAGAAGAAAGATCGCTGCTTCTGCCGCTAAGACACAAATGAGCCATCTTGCTGCCACCGCAGCCCCACCCAATGAGCCTCTTCTAGGCCTACCGGTGCTGCTGCTTCTGGATTCCACATCCCAGTTTGTTGCCGGCAATGGTCGGTCGCCTCACCGGTTGCACTACAGCCACCACGACGCCCCAGCGATCACTCCACATCACTAATCGCACAAAGCATGCGCTTTTCGTGGCAAGGATGGTACT